CAAGCGAGAGTCCAAAAGTGGCAGGCTCAAACCCAGAACCTCAACCAATTGCTGATACCAAATGAGAGACTCACCCCTGGGCACACAGAAGACTTGAAAGGCGCTGAACAGACACCACGAGATGCAGAGCCAACCTCAAGAAATGGGGCCACCAAGTGGAGTCCACGACATGCGAGTGTGGAGAAGAAGAGCAAACCACTCACCACCTGCTGCAATGCACATGCACAATGGAGGACCTTCTTGTGGCAACACCAGAGGCACTCCAAGTGGTCAGATACTGGTCAAGGGACATTTAATCAACTACTAAACTTGCAAATTTTGTATTTTGTCTATTTGTTTGTTTTGTTCTGTTAGAAATGTAATACAATGGACTGGTTGCCCTGACACGACAAATAAAATCTTGCTGTGCTTCAAATAATAATAATAATAATAATAATAATAATTATTATTATTATTATTATTATTATTATTATAAAGGGTTTATATATCTGTGGAATGACCAGGGTGGGACAAAGGACTCTTGTCTGTTGGAGCTAGGGGTGAATGTTTCAACTGATCACCTTAATGAGCATTTGATGGCCTGGCAGTGCCTGGAGCAATCTTTTGTTGAGAGGCGATCGATTAGATGTATTGTCGAGGCTTTCATGGCCAGAATCACTGGGTTGTTGTAGGTTTTCTCGGGCTGTATGGCCATGTACTAGAGGCATTCTCTCCTGACATTTCGCCTGCATCTATGGCAAGCATCCTCAGAGGTTGTGAGGTCTGTTGGAAGTAGGAAAAATGGGTTTATATATCTATGGAATGACTAGGGTGGGACAAAGGACTCTTGTCTGCTGGAGCGAGGTGGGAATGTTTCAACTGACCGCCTTGATTAGCATATAATTGCCTGGCAGAGCCTGGGGGAATCTTTTGTTGAGAGGTGATTAGATGTCCTTGTTTGTTGGAGCTAATGTTTCAACTGACCACCTTAATTACTGGGTTGTTGTAGGTTTTTTCAGGCTCTATGACCATGTTCTAGAGGCATTCTCTCCTGACGTTTCGCCTGCATCTATGGCCAGCATCCTCAGAGGTAGTGAGGTTTGTTGGAACTAGGAAAAAGGGTTTCTATATCTGTGGAATAATGACCAGGGTGGGACAAAGGACTCTTGTCTGCTGGAGCTAGGTGTCAATGTTTCAACTGACCACCTTGATTAGCATTGGATGGCCTGGCAGTGCCTGGAGCAATCATTTGTTGAGAAGCAATTACATGTCGTTGTTTGTTTCCTCTCTGTTGTTTTGCTGTTGTAATTTTAGAGTTTTTTAAAGATTGGGATTATTATTATATAATAATAATATTAATATTTCATTTGCACTTGATTCCACACAGGATGGAGAACTCACCCTTGCATGCTGCAATTATTATTATTATTATTATTATTATTATTATTATATATTTTTATTATTATTACTATTGTTATTATTATTACACTTAATTGTGCTTAGGACAGAGAACTGAACCTTGCATGGGATGATGATTATTATATAATAATATTATTATGCATTATTAGTACACAATTCATTTGCACTTGATACCACGCAGGATGGAGAACTGACCCTTACATGTTGTAATTCAGTTTGTAATTAAAATAATAATAATAATAATAATAATAATAATAATAATAATAATAGTCTGTGGAAGAAGGGGCTGCAGAAAGGACTCTATGGAGTGATTGGCTTTGCAGAGCGAAGGCGTGCAAAGGCGAGACTTAAGCCACCTCTGCTTCTGATTCGGAGAAGAAGGAGAAGGAGGCCAGTCCCTGTCTGACATCATTTGTTTGGAGTGGCTGCAAAGCAAAGTGGAAAAAGCAGTCCTCCCCAGAGAGAGAGAAGAGCGGCTGCAGGAGAGAGAAGGCCGGTCACTCCTGAGCCAGGCGGCCACAGAAAGGGCACCCCAAAGGGCATCCGGCTGACCCTCTGACCCTGACGTCCAGCCATGCCAGCCCGCACGGCCACCCTGACCGCGCTCCTCCTGGCACTCTTCCTCCAAGCTCACCTGTCCAGGGAAGCACCGCTCAATGGTAATCAAACTTGTCGAAGGCTTTCGTGGCCGGAATCACTGGGTTGTTGTAGGTTTTTTCGGGCTATATTTCCATGTTCTAGAGCAGTGGTTCTCAACCTTGACCCCTTAAGGCAGTTCGTTCTATATGTTGTGGTGACCCCCAACAATAATATTGTTTTCATTGCTGCTTGATACCTGTCATTTTACTACTGTATTCTCAAAGGCTTTCATGGCTGGAATCACTGGGTTGTTGTAGGTTTTTTCAAGCTATATAGCCATGGTCTAGAGGCATTTTCTCCTGACGTTTCGCCTGCATCTATGGCAAGCATCCTCAGGAGTTGTGAAGTCTGTTGGAACTAGGAAAATTGGATTTATATATCTCTGGAATGACCAGGGTGGGACAAAGGACTCTTGCCTGCTGAAAATCCATCCTGCATATTTACATTACGATTTATAACAGTAGTAAAATGGGTTGTTGTGGGTTTTTCGGGCTATATGGACATGTTCTAGAGGCATTTTCTCCTGACGTTTCGCCTGTATCTATGGCAAGCATCCTCAGAGGTAGTGAGGTCTGTTGGAACTATGGAAAGGGGTTTATATATCTGTGGGATGACCAGGGTGGGACAAAGGACTCTTGTCTGCTGGAGCTAGGGGTGAATGTTTCAACTGATCACCTTAATGAGCATTTGATGGCCTGGCAGTGCCTGGAGCAATCTTTTGTTGAGAGGCAATTAGATGTATTGTCGAGGGCTTTCATGGCCGGAATCACTGGGCTGCTGTAGGTTTTTTGGGGCTATATGGCCATGTTCTAAAGGCATTCTCTCCTGACGTTTCGCCTGCATCTATGGCAAGCATCCTCAGAGGGAGTGAGATCTGTTGGAAGTAGGAAAAATGGGTTTATATATCCGTGGAATGACCAGAGTGAGACAAAGGACTCTTGTCTGTTGGAGCTAGGTGTGATTGTGTTGTAGGTTTTTTCGGGCTATATGGCCATGGTCTAGAGGCATTCTCTCCTGACGTTTCGCCTGCATCTATGCCAAGCATCCTCAGAGGTAGTGAGGTCTGTTGGAACTAGGAAAAAGGGTTTATATATCTGTGGAATGACCAGGGTGGGACAAAGGACTCTTGTCTGCTGGACCTAGGTGGGAATGTTTCAACTGACCACCTTGATTAGCATTTGATGGTCTGGCAGTGCCTGGGGGAATCTTTTGTCGAGAGGTGATGAGATGTGCCTGATTGTTTCCTCTCTGTTGTTGTGCTGTTGTAATTTTAGAGTTTTTTTTAATACTGGGAGCCAGATTAACTAGGAAAAAGGGTTTATATATCTGTGGAATGACCGAGGTGGGACAAAGGACTCTTGTCTGCTGTAGCTAGGTGTGAATGTTTCAACTGACCACCTTGATTAGCATTTGATGGCCTGGCAGTTTTTTGGTGTGGTCGTTGTATTGTCGAAGGCTTTCATGGCCAGAATCACTGGGTTGTTGTAGGTTTTTTCGGGCTATATGGCCATGTTCTAGAGGCATTTTCTCCTGACGTTTCGCCTGCGTCTATGGCAAGCATCCTCAGAGGTAGTGAGGTCTGTTGGAACTTGGAAAAAGGGTTTATATATCTGTGGAATGACCAGGGTGGGACAAAGGACTCTTGTCTGCTGGAGCTAGGTGTGAATGTTTCAACTGACCACCTTAATTAGTGGGTTGTTGTAGGTTTTTTCGGGCTATATGGCCATGTTCTAGAGGTATTTTCTCCTGACGTTTCTCCTGCATCTATGGCAAGCATCCTCAGAGGTAGTGAGGTCTGTTGGAAGTAGGTCTGTGGAATGACCAGGGTGGGACAAAGGACTCTTGTCTGCTGGAGCTTGGTGGGAATGTTTCAACTGACCACCTTGAAAATCGATGGGTTTTATAGCAAACCTAGAAGCCAAAAGGACTAATGTGGACTGAGGATAAAGAATTGCAACAGCAAAAGAACATCATCATCATCATCATCATCATCATCAGATTGTTATAAGTTTTTTGGGCTGTATGGCCGTGTTCTGGAAGCATTCTCTCCTGACATTTCGCCTGCATCTATGGCAAGCATCCTCAGAGGTAGTGAGTTCTGTTGGATCTAGGAAAAGTGTTTATATATCTGTGGAATGAGCAGGGTGGGACAAAGGACTCTTGTCTGCTGGAGCTAGGTGGGAATGTTTCAATTGACCACCTTGATTAGCATTTGATGGCTTGGCAGTGCCTGGGGGAATCTTTTGTTGAGAGGTGATTAGATGTCTTTGTTTGTTTCCTCGCGGTTGTTGTGCTGTTCTAATTTTAGAGTTTTTTAAAAATTTGGATTATTATTATATTATAATAATATTAATATTTCATTTGCACTTGATTCCACGCAGGATGGAGAACTCACCCTTGCATGCTGCAATTATTATAATTATCATTATTATATATTTTTATTATTATTACTATTGTTATTATTATTACACTTAATTCCGCTTAGGACAGAGAACTGAGCCTTGCATGGGATGATGATTATTATATAATAATATTAATTTTTATTATTAGTACACAGTTCATTTGCACTTGATACCACGCAGGATGGAGAACTGACCCTTCCATGTTGCAATTCAGTTTATAATTAAAATTATTATATTTTGCCACAGCTGGAGAACCGACCCTTGCATGGGATTATTATTATATTATAATATTTATATTTATTATTACGACACAATTCATTTGCACTTGATTCCATGCAGGATGGAAAACTGACCCTTGCATGCTGCAATTCGGGTTATAATTATGATGATGATGATGATGATGATTATTATTATTATTATACAATTCAATTCCACTTAATTCTACACAGGAGGGAGAATGAACCCTTGCATGCTGCAATTCAGATGATGATGATGATGATTAATATATTTATTATTAATAAATTATACTTCTTATATTATATTGTATTATAATATTTATATTTATTATTACTACACCATTCATTTCCTTTTAATTCTTCCCAGGATGGAGAACGGACACTTGCATGTTGCCATTGGGATCATTGTTATTGTTATTTATTTATTTATTTATTTATTTACTCCATTTGTATACCGCATATATCAGCCTGCGACGGCGACTCAATGCGGTTTACAGTAAAATGGCAACACTGACAATGTATAAGACGTACATACACAAACAACACACACAGTCATCAGCGCCTCAATTAGAATCAGATCCCGTTCTCATAGTCCTTTTTCGTTCCTTGTTCAATGCCGTCT